CTCTCTCTCTCTCTCTCTCTTTCTCATACAATCTTATTTATAGCTTGTGCTCATTGGTGTTCAGATAATGGATTCTTTGATGAATCCTTCAGGTTTAGGATTTTACGGAGAGCAACCTTGATCTCTTTGTTTCGCAAGCTATAGATCAGCGGATTCATTATGGGTGGCACCAAAGAGTACATAACGCCAAACACCAAACGCAAATCCGATGGAGAATTTGCCACAGATGTAATGTAGGCCAAGACCCCACTGCATATGTACATGGAGACTACCATGAGATGGGGAAGGCAAGTGGAAAAGAACTTCTGCCTTCCCTGCATAGTGGGAATTTTCAACACTGCAGTGAAGATTTTCACATAAGTGAGAATAATGAAAGTGAAGCAACCAAACACCGTACTCATGCTGAATACAAGAACACTTATTTCAACTAGGTATAAATCAGTGCAAGAGAGTTTGAGTAACTGGGGTATTTCACAGAAAAATTGGTCAACAATATTGGAGCAGAAGGAGATTGCAAAAGTGCTGCCAGTGTGTATTATTCCATAGAGAAGGCCACTGATCCATGCGCTGACCATCATCTGCATGCAGCTGATTCTGTTCATTATTGTCTCATATCGTAGTGGGTTGCAAATGGCAACATATCGATCATGTGCCATTATTGTGAGAAGGACAAAATCAGATGCTAAAAAGAAGAACAAAAAGAAAACCTGTGCAACACACCCAAAATAGGAAATTGACCTAGTGTTCAAGAAGGCATTAAGCATGGATTTTGGTATCGTTGCTGAAACTGAGCCAATATCTACCACAGCCAAGTTCATGAGGAAGAGATACATGGGAGTGTGCAAGTGATGGTCCAAGACGATGGCAAAGATGATGAGCATGTTTCCTGTCACAGTTGCTAGGTACAATGTCAGGAATACAAAGAAGTGCATGATCTGTAAGTCTCGGACCTCAGAAAATTCCAGAAGCAGAAAATAAGATGCAGCACTTGCGTTAGTTTTGATATCCAGCATATTCAATTCTTTTCTTCCTGGAAAATAAATAAGATAGAGAAATGTTATAGGTCAGTATGATCTGCTGAATAGTTAATGCAGATTTCCTCAATTTGACCGTAGGTGGATAGTTTGGTGGTTTAAGTGGCTATGGATCCAGACGTTTGAAGTTTGATTCCTTGCTGTGCCTATTATGAGAAAAACCTGGCTGTGTGGTCTTGGGAAAGTCACATAGTCCCAAGACAACCTCAGAAATGAGGAATTGTAAGCCATTTCTGTGTATCCTCTACCTAAAAATCCCTGAAAGAAGGGTTGTTGAAAGTCAGAATTAACTTGATGATGCACACGTGTACACACACACACACACACACATACACTCACACAGAGAGAGACAGACAGACATACACACACACACACAAACACACACAGAGAGAGAGAGAGAGAGAGAGAGACACGCACACACACACACGCACAGACAGACAGACAGACAGACACACACACACAGACACAGAGCAATGGGAAAAGGAATTACTGAAGCATAACTATCCCCATACCATCTTCCTTTGCCTCACATAGTTATCAGGTCTTGGGGAACAAAGTGAGCAGTATGATGTGGTCAATGAATATCTTCTCTTCACTTGGCTGTCCTGATTACATCGCTGTGAAGAACAGAATGGAAAACATATCTGAAATCGTTGTGAAACATTCACCTACATCAGTGGTTCCCAACCATGGGTCCCCAGATGTTCTTGGACTACAACTACGAGAAATCCCGTCCAGCTAAGCTAGTGGGGAAGGTTTCTGGGAGTTTTAATCCAAGAACATCTGGGCACCCAAAGTTGGAAGATACTGACCTAGAATTATTGAGCTGTTTTAGCATCATGGTAGCTAAAAGGGTTTCACATTGTTCTGTAACCTGACCTTAATCTGGTTCACTTCCCTTTTGCATGTTCCGATGCCTGCATTTATTCCATCAGTTTTCCATCTTACAAATAAATCTGCACAGAAATATTTGTCAGGTGATCTATGGAGGTGATAACCTCTATAAAAAAATCCAGCCTTTTCCTCCTCTCTTTTGAATACTTGAGATCTACCTGGAATCATCAAGAAAACACACCCTCTATTATATAATTAACCAAGGCATATATGGCACTTATTGTGGTAATACATTAGATGTTTTCCACCTTCCTGTGACATTGACCATCATTCATATCCACCTGTGTGAAAAGGATCAGGTGCAGACATTGCCGCGATAATTTGATGGGGTGTCATTGGTGATTAACCAGGCACAACTCTGGCACCCTATCAGAGTGCTTTGCGGCTTCCTCAGTTTGAGATTCACATGTGTAAGCACTGAACAAGATAACAGCCTTTGTGTGGTGGGGAAGGTTGTTTTCATAGACCCACTGGAAGACATGCATAGCTGTTATCTCTGGACAATGCACCGGGAAAGGACAGCACATCATCATGTACTATCACACCCAGAACATTTCCATCTCCTTTTGAATCAGGAATTGAACTTTCGGGATGACCTAGGTGTCTAATACATGGCTTCAAAAGTCAGAACAAAGTATAAAATCACATCCTTTCTCTGCAGAATTTGAGGAAAGATACAGACTCCAGATCAGAATGCTTTAAGTATTGAGGGGGGAGGGATAGCTTAGGATAAATTATATGGATGCATATATATGTATATATGGCTGTATATATGTGCCTTATTAGAATATGTGTATCACACATTCTAGTACTTTAAAAAACCAATAAAATAAAAATTAGAACCAGCAATTAAAATGCCAAATGTCAAATACCAAATAAGCTAAATACTTCTTCAACAGAATAAAAATAAAAAATATACATTTTTTTAAAAAGCAGGTAGGCAGACAAATCATTAAATAAAACTCATAAAGGAAACACTTCCTGAACAAGGTTTTAACTGCATCAGAAAGTTATGAAAAAAGAAGCCTCTCTAACCTCCCAGGGCAAATTACCTCACAATTTACACATGGAAGACCTGAGTATCACATTTACAATGTAACTTCCAAATGCAGATTTTTTTTAAGTTTTATTTTTTTAATGACAAAAACCTACACAGAAAATCCCTAAATGTGCAAGCACATCAAAGACTTACTGTTTTCTTTACAGATGCTGGAATTTGCAGATGCCCTTTCTTCTGCAGCTTCTTTAAAGCACGCTGTTCATCCATGCAGGAGCTTTTCCAGGGAACTCCTTCTATTATTCTGTTCTGCCTTGTTTTGCAATCTGCACAGTTTATATTGACTGTATGATGTCACCATAGGGCAGGCATTTCTTAAGAGTCTTAGTCTCAAGAGCTCTGAACAATTCCTCATTAGGGGAACACTACAGAACCTGCTGGATAGCTCAGTAGTTAGGTCTCTGGCTGCAAAACCAGACGTTGGGGGTTCAATTCCCCTCAGTGCCTTCTTATCAGTTGCTGGACTTGATGATTCATTGGGTCCCTCCCAACTCTACAGTTCTAAGATGATGATGATGATTAACTTATGTGTCTTGTTTTCTTCTCATTCTTATTCTTCGGTGGTTCCATGTCACTTCCCACTTATGGCCATCCTAGGGTTTTCTGTTGCATCTATTACAATCTACATATGATGCTTTTGAGAGGTTTTGACTGGGATGGACCTTTATGGACTGTGGTGAAAGTCAGTCTGTAACTCAGATTTCCTGCCTTTTTTGCCAGTCAAAGTTCTATCAATTTTAGTTATGTAGTCTATCAGAAGTGGGCTGTTAAAGTGATGTGTTCTGTCAGCTAGGTAACAAGTCAGTTAATCAATATTGAAGCTAGTTAATCAGTTAAGCTCTGTGATGTAGCAAGTTAACATTTTTACATAATATAATGTTTGTTTGAATTGGTGAAGAACTATAAGTTCTTCACCAATTCAAACAAACATATGTAAAATAATACATAATGGGCTCTAAGTCATGTTCTGATCAAACACAACTTGGAGCCCATTATCGGGCCTATTTCGTGGCAATACGGCTGGCGAAATGGCAATGTTTCTCAGGCCGTATTGCTTCCTCAGAATGTTGTCCAGCAGAGCTCTTTCGGGTGGTCTGGGATCTTCTTCAATCGGGAAATCCGGTGGAGGTCCGGACTGCTCATCAGCTCGCTGTGATGAGTTTGCCATTCATTTTGAGGGGGAAATCGCTCAGATTCGTATTGGGTTGGACTCCACCATTACTGCAGAATCAGAGGATGTGTCCAGTGTGCTGTGATTAGGTCAAGTATTAATAGATGAGTTTCAATTGTTGAGACCTGAGAATGTGGACAGGGTGCCGTTCTACCACCACTCCGCTTGACCTTTGCCCATCTTGGCTAATTGAAAGATCTGCCAGGAGGGTTCACACCTGAGTCCAGGAGGCCATGAACACCTCTTTGAGAGATGGAGTGGTCCCTACCACCTTGAAAGAGGAGATAATTTGGCCACTCCTTAAAAAGCCTAACCTGGACCCAAGGTAGTGGTTAACTACCGACCAGTGGCGAACCTCCCTTATTTGGGCAAAGTGTTGGAGCGGGTTGTGGCCGGGCAACTCCAGGCGCTGCTGGCTGGACAGTGTCACTGAAGCTACCAATATGAATTGACGAAGCTCCGGGAGGCAGTGGAAGACAGGAGGGCCTGGCGTGCTCTGGTCCATGGGGTCACAAAGAGTCAGACACAACTCAATGACTAAACAACAACAGCAACAACAAAACAAGTTTGCCAAAAGAGGTACCCACCAATCCACCTTAGCCTTTAGCATTTCAGGGAGAATGTTCCTGAAGCCTTGCCTGATTTCATACTTCTAATCAGGGTTTTTGTTTCAGTCACTTTGACCGGCCTCCATGGAGGAGTGTCATTTAAATTTATAGTTGGAGAGAAATCTATTGAATACTCTTTAATGTCCCCGAGTAGAGAGGTGCTGTTCCCAGATGTCCGCTGAGATGTTACAGTTGAGCTGGTTCGAAGATGAGGTCACTATCCAGCCTTAGGCCTACAGAAAATTCCATTACGGACAATTGATGGTTTGCTAGGTCTTCATTGGTATTTGGGGGCTGTCCCAAATTCCTCAAAGTTGCAACCAGACATTCCAGTTGGTGTACTAAAGACATTTGCTCTCAAATTGGCAGTCTGATAAAGGAGGTAATAAGAGGACTCTTCGCCTCCTCTTCTGGATAAGCAACATCTGGAATGGTCTTTTTTGTTGCATGGCTATCATCCTTGCATTTTTTTGGTAGGGTTACCATAATCATTTTGCCCATCAATTGAGTGGTCTTCCAAAATTTGAACAAGATCCTCCTCAGTGTGTTTCTCCTGGGCATAGACTGGATTCTCCCTTTCTGTCTCCCTTGCACACTCACTTAACAGGGGTAGTGGGTGTGCTAAGTTTTGGAAGTACCTAACAGACTGTTATACCTCTTGCGGCTAGTTCCTCTCTTCTGCCATAAATCCTATTGGTTATTATACTATCCTTAAATTTTACAATTGCCCGTGCGTGGATATCATTGTGGAACAAATATTCCACATTTAGAATTTGGGATGTGGAGTTTAATTCAGGGATTATGGGTTCTAAGATATTTACCAGATTCCATTTGCGCTCATTCTGTGTAAGTATCCCTTTTGGTTTTGAGTATCCACAGAAAGCTAAAGTGTGAGTCATTAGTCTCAGCTTCCATGTTGCATTGCTCTCAGGCTTTGTCGGCTAGGTTATAGATTGAGTGTTCTTTTCTGTATTGCTCTTTAGCACATCAATCCAGCGGTCATTTCCCACCTCATCTATACCACCCTCACTAATACCCTGTATGGTAGAGGTGATTGCTGGTTGATGTGTATTTCTCAAAGCTTCACCAGTACCTAACTTTTCAGAATTTCTTTTAAGTCCGGGAGATTTTTCCTCTTCATTTGAGCTCATCTCAAGATGTTTAAATAGGTTATGGTAGTTCATTTTTAGAGGGGCTGTCGAACTCAATGAAATGTTGAAGCAAAGGGGTGAGCAGGCGCAACACATACAATGGAGAAACATTGTACACCCTTTAACCCCTCAGTTAGACTAATGTTGCCATGCCATGCCAAAAGCAGACTGGAAAGCTATACTGCAGTATCCAATCCCGTTCTTTGAGTTAGGCAAGCAGAGGAAGAAGAGCTATATTGGACCAAAACCTCTATGGATATATTAGGTACATGATTTCCAAAATGTGTCCTTTGCTTTTTGAAATAAAAAACTGAAAGAGGTTAGAGTTAGCAAAGAATGTCACTGAAAAGCTAGGTCAAAATCATGCTAACTGTTTGACAAAAAGACTGTGAAGAAAGACAGGGAAGAAATTAAGTCATTTGAAATGTTGTGTGGGTAGAGATACTAAAGACAGCCAGAAAAGTAAGTGCTCCATCATGTCAAGCCTGAACTTTCACTCGAGCCAAAATGAGGACATGAGTTTGTCATACCATGCACATATAATAGAAATGTGAACATTCTAAATGATTGGATTGTTAGCATAATATAGCATTCTGACGAATCAGAATGTGTCTGGAGTCATTATTTCGGTGTTTTAACCTATGAGCACAAATGGGACCTAGGCTGAACAATGGTTTGGGGATCATCCCAGGTAAAAATCATGTGGATCCATGAGGTATTGAATGCCAAAGCACTCAGCGTGAATGAAACTAATAAGATATTCTTAAAATTAAATTGTCTGAAGGAACATTATATATTTCTAGACTTTTAAGTTTATTCAGTATGATTCTTCATAACTTCATCCATCTTGGTATCTCAACCTTTCTCTTAGATTGCTCTAAAAGAGAACCTAGACTGATCTTCTATTACTAGTCCCCACCTTGACCATCATCATTCAGTGCAAGTTGAGATGCTCTCATGGCCAGGGAGGATTTTGGGCAATGACTACTTAAGGCCTGCTAAACATGATTTAAGACACATCTACTTGGGCAAACAACATGAGTAGACTCTGTACGCAGAACCTAACTAAGAGCTGAGTCTCATGGCACAATCTGCCAGCACCACTAAAGCCCCAGATAAAGCCTGTCTTGAAGGTGATAGACAGAATATGTTGTGCTGTCCTTCCTCAGCCCTAATGATAGAAGAAAAACGCACAGCAGGAACGCACTACTTATTTCCTTTAGGCTGGCCTGTCCCTTAATCAACATTAATGTTCACCTGCCTCAACTGGTTTGCACCAGTAGATATTACATAGTATTCAAACAGTACTTTCTGTCCTTAAATTAAGTTGCAGTTGCAGATTCCAGATATTCCTCTCATTGTGAAAAGCTGTTTGAGATCCCATGGTTACAAGACAAAACAAAATAATAGTTCTTTATGAATGAGAGATACAGAAAGTGTTCACTTTTGTAGAATTAGGATTGAGAGAAGAGTAGTACCTAAGACTTTGAATACAGCATTTTTAATTCCCTTGTTTCTCATGCTGTAGATTATTGGATTCATTAAAGGGGGAAGCAAAGAATATAATACAGTCATTACCAAATTAAGATATGAAGAATTCGAGGATGGCTTGATATAAACGAAAGATCCCGTGAATATAAGTATGGACACTACAATGAGATGGGGAAGGCAAGTTGAGAACGCTTTCTGCCTTCCTTGCACAGATGGAATTTTCAACACTGCTATAAAAATGTACACATAAGTCACAAGAATAAAAATAGAACATCCTACTACAATCACAACACTTAACAAAATAAGTCCAACTTCAATTAGATACAGGTCAGAGCAGGCAAGCTTCATTAATTGTGGGATTTCACAGAAAAATTGGTTGACAACGTTGGAGCAAAAGGGGACTGCAAAGGTACCTCCTGCATGTAATGCTCCATACAGAAAGCTGCTGATCCAAACAATAGCAATTATTTGCAGGCAGGCTTGCTTGTTCATCAACAAGTCATATTGCAATGGATGGCAGATAGCAACATACCTGTCATAGGCCATAACTGTGAGAAGAGAGAGATCAGATGATATAAAGATGAGATGGAAAAGCACTTGAGCAACACATCCAGAATACGAAATGTGTCTAGCGTCCATGAGGGAATTTGCCATGGATTTGGGGACTATGACTGAAACTTGTCCTATATCCTGTATGGCCAGGTTCATCAGAAAGAAGTGCATGGGGTTATGTAAGTGGTGGTCAGCAACTACTGCAGAGATGATGAGAAGATTTACTCCAACTGCTACCAGATAGTAAACAAGGAACACAATGGCAAGTAGAATCTGTAATTCATGAACTTCAGATAAACCCAAGAGAAGAAAGTGTGTGATAGAAGACTGATTCCTTAGATTTTCTTCCTGAAGATACATGTTGTCTTCCTGTGGAAGGAAGTAGAAGGACATGAGTATAAAAGCAAGAGCTGCTTTGTGTTGGGTTTGTTTTTTTTGTGGTGGTGGTTTAGTCATTTCTTATTACTTATGAGTAGGGGGAGGATTTCTGGGACATGTCTTATTTTTTTGCAGCCTATGTTTGCATTTTTTAAAGAGGCTTTGGACATGCTAATCAGGAATCTGGTGGAAAATGCCAGATTACTTAGAAAGGCATTTGAACTTGCTTGTGGGTTCAAATGTAGGTTGCCGAGTGTGTGTGAAATGTCATAGAAACCCTCCCCCATCTCAGTGTTTATTAATTTATTTCATCCAAAGGTATTGGGAGGTATTCATTAGAATAAAAATACATAAATGTAGTTTAAATTCATATTAAATTAATTGAACCACATGAGGAAGGCTTGCAAAACTAATTGAAGACTGGGGTTGCCACATGCAAAGAATGGCACAGCTTCTATCCCAATCATAAACCATAAATGCTCCAAAGCAACTGGCTTCAAAAGTATTTAGAATTCCTATGCTAATAATAAACCCTAACCCTTTGTCTATAACTTTTTATACATATTTAAATGCTTCCAAATTCCTAATTCCTTGGGGATATTATGAAGGGACAATTTTATTTGAAGTGTTCACATTTAAAGAAAATAAATCCCAATAAACTATACAAACATAACAATGAAACCATGCCACCTCTACATCATCACATGTCCACAAATTAACTAGTAGACAAAAAAAGTATATCAGTAAAAATGGGCTAACAATTTACTGGTCGAGAGGTGAGGTGGTTACAACCCTTCTTCCCTGTTATGAAACCAAAGGAATCAAAACATGTCAGTGGAAATGACTGAATTCTGCAGACATTTTCATACAACTCTTAAGGTGACAATGAGGAAAAATGCTTACCTTGTGAGTCTAGTTCTGCATGAATTCTGCAAATGAACATTTCTCTGAAGTCATACAATATATTAATGATGTAGATAATGGTTGAAAATGAGAACTCATGAAGTTCTATCCCACAAACTGCAAACAGTAATATTTTTTGTTAGGTGCATGGAGGAAAAGAGGGACATTATGAATTCTAAAATATGTACCTCCTGAAACATTTTCAATTGCACAAGATATAATTTTGATAGAGAATATTGATCAATTCAGTGAATTTTCTCACCAGTTTTGAACATTTTTGAAAAGGGACAGTGTGACCATGGAAGCTGACAGCTTCATAGCCTTCATCTTAGACTACTGTAATATACTCTGTGTGGGGCTCCTATTGAAGATTGCATGGTTACTGCAGTGAGTACAGCATGTGTCAGCTAAATGGGCTGCTGTCAAAATGACTTCCAGAGCCCATATGCATTGAAAGAATTACAGTAGCTGCCAATGCATATCTGGTTAAAATGCAAGCTTTTGGTAATGACCAACAAAGTCCTAAATGGCATAGGGCCTGGAGTAGTTGATCATTAGGTTGTCCCAGGGAATCAATAGAAGTGTGGGCAGTAGTAATAAGGGCAAAGGCCCATTATTACATTTATTCATCTGTTACAGTTATTTATATTCCACATTTAAAATGTATCTGTGTTTGTGTGCATCAATGAGAGAGAAAGAGAGTGTTGAAAATATGTAGTGTAGCGGAACATAGTTTTGTTGCAGTAAGAAATGAAAAATATTCTGAAATTATGAGATAGAAATTACTTACTATTTTTCTTCACCATTTCTCTTAAGCTCCAGATGCACCTTGTATTCCATGGATATTTCATGTCCAAGTACAGTACTTACCAGATGCAGGTTCCACTTTATAAGTACTTCTTCTTTTGTTCCTTTATGATGGCAGTAAGAGTTTGTTATTGCAGAGAGGAGACTTGTTAGCAGCTCCTTCATGCCCTTGGAGATGTGCTCCTTCGGGAAGCCATCATCGCTCAGAAACACAAGCATTCCAAGATGAAATGATTGACCAGTATGGACCAGTGTGTCAGGAAACGTCAGTGGGTTCTAAATGCAGCAGCCAGATTGCTGACTGGGCTTGGTTACAGGAATCAATAAAGAATCGAATCTTTATTGGTTACTGAAGTTCTGCTTTACTACATCTCACTTTGATATGAGTCATTGGAAAACATTTTCGCAAAGCTGTCCTTNCCCCCCCCCCCCGGTTTTATTTTGTTTCTGAATATTTCATGCTAAATTTCATGAGGTCCGAGCTCTCATAATTCCAAAGGTTTCCAACACAGAAGTGAAGACATACTCCTTTCTATTTGGTATAAGTGATAAAACAGGGAGAATCCGATCACCTGAGGTGGCTCCAAGGACAGAAGGCAGGTCTGAAGGCAATGGAAGGACAGTCAAATGTGTAGTCTTATACTTCAGTAATGCTGGACTTCCTGAATCTGAGCTGCATTTCTGTTGGCTCTGGTCAGGCTCGTCTGCTTCCTCTGTGGGATGATGGCTATAACCAAAGAGGTGGAAGAGACTGAGGTTTCCCTAATGTGAACATGGCTGAGGATGGCTACAAGGGTGTTTGTCCTACTGTTTGGTCTGCTGTGGGAATAGGCTTGTTCCTTCCTTTTGCTGAAAACCAGGAGGTTTTTTAAAAATTAGATATATCTGTAATCTAAAACTTAGGATGACATTCGCCATTGCAGTGGTGCCTCGACTTGAGAATGCTCCTACTTATGACCATTTCGAGTTATGACCAACTCTGGCTGCAAAATTTTGCTTCTACTTGTGACCGGAGCTTCCACTTACGAACAGAAAAAGGCAGGGAAAAAAAGGCGGAAAATTCAAATTTCTAACTGTAGGTGGCGACCCGGCTGCTTCTTTGTAGCTCTTTCACCCCAGCAGTTAGAGAGTGTGTATCATCGTCGTTTTATACAGTAGTTCTTTCGTCCCAACAGTTAGAGTGAGTGTGATTGGAGGAGGCTTCGGATTGCCTGGTAAGGTAAGGTGCTGCTTTCTGCTTTTTAAAAACTGTTCTGGGTGGGTGTTGCAGAGTGGTTTTGGGCTGGGGGGGTTATGTTTCTGTGCTGTGATGGGTCTTGGGGGGTTTGCTTGTTTTTTGGTGTTTTTCTCCCATTTCTGATGGCTCTTGGGGGGGTTTCCTTGCTTTTTGGATTTCCCCCCATTTCCAATGGGTCTTGGGGGTTTCCTTCCTTTTTGGAGTTTTTCCCCCCATTCCCAACTGGTCTTGGGGGTTTCATTGCTTTTTGGAGTTTTTCCCCCATTTCTGATGGGTGTTGGGGGTTTCCTTGCTTTTTGGATTCCTCCCATTTCTGATGAGTCTTGTGGAGTTTGTTAGCTTTTTAGTTTCCCATGCCCCATTACTAATCTTGCACGATCTGCTTGATTGCTTTTTTGCTTTGTCTTGTTTGCATTTGCAATGGATCTTGCACGGTTGATTGGTTTTGGTTTGTTTTCTTTGCATTAGGTCTTGCACACTTGATTGCTTTTTGCATTGTCTTGTTTGCATTTGCAATGGGTCTTGCACAGTTGATTCCTCCCCCCCCTCTTTGGCTGGAGGGGATTAATCATGTTTCTGACCGGCTTTGCATTGATTTTTTTTTGTGATTTTTTTTCTTCAGCCAGAATGGATTAATTTTATTTCAGTGCATTCCAATAGGAAATGATGCTTCAACTTATGACCATTAAGAGTTACGACCATCTTCCTGGGCCAATTAAGTTCGCAAATTGGGGCACCACTGTAATTTGGGAATTGCTTTTCTGGCATGATGAGAAAAGATTTTCCAAGAAAGCCAGCAGTAGTTCATTTAATGAACTTTCAGGGAGCAAAGAACTGCCTCTAGTTAATGAGGTGAAATTGCTTTTCTTGTGTTTTATTTCTATTTCACCCAACCTTACCTTTGTATCATATTAGTCACTTCTGTTAAAGGAAGGCATATTTTGGTTAAATATCAGGAAAAACTTCCTAACTGTTAGAGCAGTACGACAGTGGAACCATTTACTTCGAGAGGTGGTGAGTGCTCCAACACTGGAGGCATTCAACTGCAACAAAACTTAGATAATCACCTGACAGATATGCTTTGATTGTATTCCTACATTGAGCAGGAGGCTGGACTTGATGGCCTTGTAGGCCCCTTCCAACTTCACTTTTCTATTATTCTATGCTCCTTCTCACCCTTCGTGTTAAATTGGATAACTACAAACATTTCTCAGTCGCATTTTTCTGATCATTCCCTCATCTTTCCTTACCTGGCTGAATATAAGCAGCCATTAGACATAAAGGAAACTGCTTAATGCCCTGACAGATGATTGGTACATATTAATCAATAATTTCATCTTGGAATATTTGCACTTCTGAGCTATGATATATTCCCATAGAAGCATATCTCTGGGGACAAAAAGAAGTTGTTAACAGGTCTCCTCTCTGTACTTTAGTTGCAATTGCAAAGGTACAGAAGAGGAAGGACTTATTAAATGGTATCTCTGTTGGGTTAGACACTATATGCATGCATTGCATATAGTGGAATAGAAAGTGTATCTTGAGCTAAGAAAAATATGTGAAGAAAAATAGTAAGTCATTTCTATCTTATAACTTTAGAATTTTCTCAGTTCTTCCTGCTACAAAATATGTTCTACCATATCTCTCTCTCACACACACACACAGACACACACACACACACACACACACACAGAGAGAATTGCATGCACACACACATACAAACCACATATTAAATGTGAAAATTAAGTAGCATTTAAATAATTTTAGTAAGTATTTTGGGCAATTATCATTATTACTACTGCCCATATTTCTATTGTTTCCCTGGCACAACCTTCCAGGCCATTTAGGGCTTTGTTGGCCATCACCAACAAGATTCAATTAATCAGTTTTCTCTGTCAAAATTGCTTCCTATTCAAATTTTCAGGAGGTACATATTTTAGAGTTGTGATATCCCTCTTTTTCCACCTTCATCTTAGAACAGCTGCTACTGTTCACTGTTTGCGGGACAGATGTTCTATGTTCTCCATAATCTGCACCATTAAGAGACTGCATTACTTGAGAGTCATATTTGTTTGTAGAACTAATTCAGAACTAGACCCACAAGGTATGTGATTTTCATCATTGTCACCTTAAGAGTTGGGAGAAAAAAGCCCCCAAGATTCAACTGTTTGTCATGTATTGTACTAATATGTTTTGAATGCTTTGGTTTTATAACAGGTAGAAACTATTCCACCCCCACTTGACCCAGTAAATCTATAACCAGTTTTCAGTGAGTTTTGTTTATGCCAGATAATTTTTTCACATGTGATTATGTAGAGCTGATATATTCCAGTTGTACGTTTGTATAGTGTGTTGCTACTTATTTCCCCTAAATTTCAAGCGATCAAATAAAAAAGTGTCTTCATATAATCTCCCCAGAATTTAGGAATTTGGAAATATTATAATAATATTTATATAAAGTTAAATATTTATTATTCAATTATAAACTTCAAAACAGTTTTGGAGCAGTTTGGTAAGAGCACTGATAATGGATAAGTGAGACAGAAGCAGTGTTCACCAGGACTGTTGGTATAAGGCACCATCATCCTCAATTATTTTTTTCAAGCCTTCCTGGTGTAGTTCAGTCTAGCAATAATTATTGTATTTTGATTCAAAAATATGCTTCTCTACTGATTTTCTGTATTACTCTAGCATATGTTTCTCCATATTTTTGAATGAACACAGATTATAAATACTGGAAAGTAGCAAAATAAAGAAATGACTAAACCACCACAGCAAGCAAAATACCAGAAAATGCAAGTAATGCTGTTCCTTCTTTTACACTCATGTCTTTCTGCTTCCTTTCATAGGCAGGAAACATGTATCTTAAGGAACAAAATCTAAGGAATCACTCTTCCCTCACACAGTTTCTTCTCTTGGGATTCTCAGAGGTTCGTGAGCTTCAGGTTTTATTCTTCACTGTCTTCCTTGTTTACTATCTAATAGCAGTTGGAATAAATCTTCTCATCATTTCTGCGGTAGTTGCTGACCACCACTTACATAACCCTATGCACTTCTTTCTGATGAACTTGGCCATACAGGATGTGGGACAAATTTCAGTCATTGTCCCGAAATCCATGGCAAATTCCCTCAAGAATATTAGACACATTTCATTTTCTGGATGTGTTGCTCAAGTGCTTTTCTATTTTATGTTTGCAGCATCTGATTTCTTTCTTCTCACAGTTATGGCATATGATCGGTATGTTGCTATTTGCAATCCATTACAATATGAGATGTTGATGAACAAGCAAGCCTGCCTTCAAATGATTGCTATTGTCTGGATCATCAGCTTTCTTTATGGAGCCTTACACACTGGCGGTACCTTTGCAGCCCCTTTTTGCTCTAACATTGTTAACCAATTTTTCTGTGAAGTCCCACAATTAATGAAGCTTGCCTGCTCTGATTTGCACCTAATTGAAGCCGTGTTTCTTTTAGTAAGTATTGTGATTGCAGGAGGATGTTTTATTTTCATCCTTTTGACTTATGTGCATATCTTTACAGCGGTGTTGAAAATTCCATCCATGCAGGGAAGGCAGAAAGCATTATCCACTTGCCTTCCCCACCTCATCGTGGTTTCTGTATTAGTATTTACAGGATGTTCTGTTTATCTGAGGACATCCTCTAATTCTCAATCAAATCTTGAATTGGCAATGACTATATTATACTCTATGGTCCCCCCTTTAATGAACCCAATAATCTACAGCATGAGAAACAAGAAAATAAAAATGCCATAACCAAGTTAGTAAGTTTAAGACCCCTTTAATGAACCCAATAATCTACAGCATGAGAAACAGGAAAATAAAAAATGCCATAACCAAGATAGTAAGTTTAAGACACTCTTTTCACTAGCCTTGTTCTACAAAAGTCACTAGTTTTTGTATGTCTAATAAAAAACAGCTACTATTCTTTAGTGTTTTTTGTACTTCCATATTCCTGAATAGCCAGTATACACTGAGAGGAACATGAACCCAATAATCTACAGCATGAGAAACAGGAAAATAAAAAATGCCATAACCAAGATAGTAAGTTTAAGACACTCTTTTCACTAGCCTTGTTCTACAAAAGTCACTAGTTTTTGTATGTCTAATAAAAAACAGCTACTATTCTTTAGTGTTTTTTGTACTTCCATATTCCTGAATAGCCAGTATACACTGAGAGGAACATCTGGGCTCTGCACCTACAAGTATTTTAAAGGACAGGAAAAGGAGCTTGAATGACCCATAAATATGTATTGGAGCAAAGCCAGGTTAAGGAGAAGAGTCATGAAGGAGAAGAATTAGTTCCTGATTAAGGGACAGGTGGTCTAGGACAGTGGTTCTCAATCTGCAATTCCCAGGAATCCTGGCCAGCACAACAACTGGTGAAGGCTTCTGGGAGTTGTAGTCCAAGAACATCTGGGGACCCCCAATTTGAGAACCACTGGTCTAGGAAGAAGTGACCTCTGGACCCCAGTTTGAGAACCACTGGTTTAGGAAGAAGTGATCCCCGTTGTGCCTTTTTCTTCTGTCAATAGGAAGAGTAATAATCATATTTCTTACTTTCAAGACAGATTTTATATGGGGCTTTAGTAATGCTAGTAGACTGTGTCATAAGACTAGGGTCTACTTAAGTTGCCTGTCCAAGAAGGCACATCTCAAATCATATGGAAAGGGCCTTGATTTTTCATGGCCCAAATTCCTTCCTGGGCATTATAACTTCTTAAACAAGCTTTGAATGATAATGGGGGGGGCACTGTTAGCCTCCACTCTGATGGGAATATGACCAACTTCTTCATATAACTCTAAGTGAAGAAGAACCCCTTCTCAGTCCATATCCCTTAGAATAGTTTTCATAATATCAGATCTATGGCACAATGTGAAGCTTCTGGGAGATTCATCCTTGAACTATTCAACAGTACATCATGCATCTCAGAAAATCAAGGTTTTTTGGACATATATATTTATTTAGTAACTATTTATAAGGCACTTGATAGTGGGGAAAAAAAGCATTGCTTGGAAAAAGTTAGTCTCTGTCCTGAATTCTCATGCTGTGATTTCAAGGAATGGGTGGTAGCAAAAACAAACAAACAAAAAATTCTTGAAGCATCTTAAAGATTACCAAGATTTTTTTCATCATAAACTTCCAGAGATAGCAGTTCACTTTTGCAGGAAGATGAGTTCTGCTGGATGGGTATTTATATCTAAGAGAAGAGGACAGGGATTCAAAATGCTAAGTATGGCAGATGTTCAAAAGACATCAGCATTCTGATGCAGTTAATAAGGGTAGTTTAATCATCATCAGGAAGTGGCAAGCATAGATTTTAATGGTGCTCATTTAAAGTTTTTCACAGGCTTGGAATGGGAATGAGTACCTTCAGGCGTAGATCAGCATATTCATCTATATATGGTCAGGAAAAACCTTTGTAGATAATAAGTATAATGGAAGAGTTTATCTATCAAATGCAAGTAGTTGGTCAGAAGAAATCGGAAGGCAACAATTACAAATAAAGAGATTTCTCTAAGCAAGTGGCAAAATATGTCCACATTTACTTTTTATGTAAAGCTGCAGGAGAAACTGATGAAAGACTAGATGACTGGCAAAAATATATATCATCTTGCAGAATGAGTGGGGTACTGAGTCCCTCAGGGTGTGGATTATAATGCTGGAGTCATTTAATGGTGTTTGCAGTGCAGATATGGGACATTGCTACCAGTAGGATCTTGGCCATTCAGGAACTGAGACAAATATAAGGCATGTTCCCAAAATCAATGGCCAATTCTCTCCTGCACAGCAAATACATTTGTATTTGAGATGGAGGTATTCATATATGAATACAAATATCCCCATGCAGCTCGAGTCAACAAGGGTATGCCTCCTGGGATTGGACCATCCACTCATATGTCCACTGGTGTTGGCAGCCTCTCTCATCCTCCCAATCACTTCCAGAGCCCTGCTGTCTTCCTGCTTGGCTAGCCACTCCAGGCAAGGGGAGGGAGGACAAGTCTCCATGGCTGCCGAGTCACTAGCCAAGCGAGATGAGAGCGGGGCTTAGGGTGTGAATGGAAGGATGAGCGAGGCTGCCACTGCGGCCATCAGATACATGAGTGGACAGTCTGGCCCCAGGGGGCAGACTCCCGTTAACTCCAGCTGCACGGGCATATCCAAGGGTATTCTCATACACAAGTACGAATATCCCCATCTCTAATATGCATCCCGCAAGTTCTCTTTTATCTCTTCATTATGGCATTAGACTTTTCTTTCCAACTGTATTGACATATGATTGCTAGCTATTGTTATCTGCAATCATTAAAATATGAGATATTGATGAATAAACAAGCCTGCCTATAAATTATTCACATTGTTTGGTTACTTCTTTTTTTCTTTTTTCAGTGCCTATACATTGGAGGGATTTTTTTTTCAGTCTTCTTTTCCTCTAGTGCTGTTGATCACTTTTTTTGTGAAATTCCAAAATATTCCTCCGGTTTATATTAATTTACACCTTGTTGAAATTGGAAGTCTTCTGTTCAGTCATGTGGTTGGAACAAATTATTTTCTACTCATGGTTGTGAGTGTGATGCCTCATTACTTTTAAATGTATTCTGTTTTTTTGTGATGGTAGGTGTACTATTAACAATGCATCAGCTTGGTGATTATGTAGTGGAAGGGGGTGAGCATGGAATGTTGATAAGAATGGTTGTGATTGGCTGGGAGTAAAACCAGGTAAGGCAAGTAAGTATGTCTGGAAGACAGTGTAGTCCAGAGAAGATCAGTCTAGGTTCTCTTTTAGAGTGGTTTGAGAGAGAGTTTGAGACATTATTCACATTGTTTGGTTACTTCTTTTTTCAGTGCCTATATATTGGAGGAATTTTTTTCCAGTCTTCTTTTCCTCTAGTGCTGTTGATCACTTTTTTTGTGAAATTCCAAAATATTCCTCCAGTTTGTATTAATTTACACCTTGTTGAAGTTGGAAGTCTTCTGTTCAGTCATGTGGTTGGAACAGATTATTTTCTACTCATGGTTGTGAGTGTGATGCCTCATTACTTTTAAATGTATTCTGTTTTTTTGTGATGGTAGGTGTACTATTAACAATGCATCAGCTTGGTGATTATGTAGTGGAAGGGGGTGAGCATGGAATGTTGATAAGAATGGTTGTGATTGGCTGGGAGTAAAACCAGGTAAGGCAAGTAAGTATGTCTGGAAGACAGTGTAGTCCAGAGAAGATCAGTCTAGGTTCTCTTTTAGAGTGGTTTGAGAGAGAGTTTGAGACACATAGATGGCAGAGAGTATGAAGAATTGGGTAGAATACAGTGGTGCCTCACTTAACGAACGCTTCGGTTAACAACGAATCTGCATAGCGATGCGGATTTTGCGATCACAAAAGCGATCGCATTGCGATGTTTTGAATGGGAAAACATCGCATTGCAATGATCGGTAAGCGTTTCGCTTACCGATCTTCGCATTGCGATGTTTTCAGAACAGCTGATCGGCTGTTCCAACATGGACACCGGGTGAAGAAAATGGCCGCCCGCAGCGTTTTCGTGCGATTTCCTCACTTACCGAGGCGGCGAAAATGGCGGCCGTATGGAGAATCTTCGCATAACGGTGAGTTCCCCCCCACAGGAACACATTAAACAGGGTTTAATATGTTCCTATGGGGTTTTCCGTTCCATATAGCAATGTTTCCGGATAGCGACGATTTATCCGGAATGGATTATCATTGCTATGCGGGGCACCACTGTATATCTAAAGTCTAGAAATATATCATGCTCCTTTATCACTTTAATTTAAATAAAATCTTATTAGTTCCATTTGTGTTGAGTGCTACTGAGCTCAATATGTGAAGCCTGATAATCTGAAGGATGGAATAAGTGCCTAAGTGAAGGGGCAAATACACATACTCAGGACACATTAACATAGCAGGTGTGCCACAGCAGGTGTGACACTTGACGAAGGCTGGCTAAGTGAGGACAATTAGAACTCAGCACTGTTATTCCAAGTGGCATTTGGGATAGTGCATTAGGCTTCAAGGATGTCCTCAAAGCTGTCTCCACTGGGAACATCTGCACTCCATCAGCAAGTCTAACAGTTTATGTATTGGACCAATCCTGAAATAAATGTAGGTGACTGAAGGACTAGGAGGGTTAGATAGACAATATAAGATAAGACAATACACTTAACTACTGAGAGAGGCAAATCTGAGCCCATTTGTCTCTCTGATGGTTTTGCCCCACCTGCTGAACTGATATACTGTACCGGCCACTGCAGCAAGCTTGATTCATGTGTGCTACTGAGATTATATCTGTATATATATATGTGCATCATTATAGCTATTAAAGTTCTGCTATACCAAATGTCACTTTGATTCGTGTCACTGGAATACATCTCTCCCTTCTCATGACAAACCATCGCTCGTCCAAATGGGGCTTCTGAGCATTTCATGCTAAATAGCCTAAGGTCTGGCCTCCCACTGTCCAGTTTCCAACACAGACGCTCATGACAAACCATCGCTCGTCCAAATGGAGTTTCTGAGCATTTCATGCTAAATTGCCTAAGGTCTGGCCTCCCACTGTCTAGTTTCCAACACAGACAGGAAGACATACCCCTTTCTACTTGGTATGAATGCATAAAAGAAGAGGAAGGAGAGCACCTGAGGGACACCAAGGGCAGAAAGCAGGCTTGCCAAAGCAATGGAGAGACAGTCAAATGAGTATAATGGTGCAGAGGAGGCATCTTGCATAGTACACCCCCAAATGTG